AATATGGTAATGGTATAACATCGAGCCTCTATGAGTCTGAAACTTTTTAAGAGTTTCTTTTGTATAGTCAAAAAAAAAGGATAGATACTTCTTTGATGAAAGCCTGTCCAATCAATTATCGTATTGAATTTTAGTTCAATTTTAAAGCCTTTTCTTGCATTTTTAAGTGTAAAAAAATCTAGGTTCTAGAATTTAATTTCACAATATTAATTAAATAAAGCTTTTATTTCTTGTTTGTATATTTTTTTAAAGCTCACACGAGGGCTATTTATGCAGTTCCAAATAAAAAATATCTGAATACTCGATTCGATTCTCGACATAATAGCAATCCTAAATTGAGTACTTTTTTAAACTTGATTTTTAGTTAATATCTAAATTTGTTTCTTCGAAAATAAAAAATATTTTTTTTATTTATTTTCTATAGGAGGTATCTTACGAATACATTAAAAAAAGGTTGCGAATTACGACTACGCATTTATTTATTAACGATAAATTTATTAAATTTATTATTTACAAAATTTGTAATCTCAATGATGATCTAAAATGTGTATCCTCCCCCCTGTTCAAAGTATAGTTAGTACCTTCGAAATTCTAGAAATTGTATGATACCAATCATTTTAGTGCAAAGGACATGTCATGTCACATGACCGATCAGATTTAAAATAAATGATTGAATTAGGTTTTTTTTTTTTTAAAAAAAAAAATGATTGATTCAATAAATAAGTCGAAGATAACTTATCCTTTTTATAATGAAATACTAATGGTAATGAAAATACCCTTTTGTATACAAATCGATCGATTTAATTTAATAAAAAGTTATAAAATTGAATAAAGAAAATCACTCTTTTTTTACATTGTAAAAAAAACTTTATTATTTTTATCCGACTTCGTTTCAATATATTAAACAATTTATTGGTAAGATATTTTACCTACGATTGTATCGATTCTTTGAATTCGAATTGTGATTATGTTCTAAATTATTTTACAATTGAAAATAAATGTTCATCAAGAGTTATTCGAATCGATTTTTCGGTAACTAACTACGTAACTGACTCATCATCTTTAATTCTTTTCTCTTTTTTCTCCATAATTACTTTCACTCATCTACCATTTTTATTATTTTTTTTTTTTGTTTCTATGATATTTTCAGGAAAGATTTAACAAATGTTCCAAGAGGTCTCGTAAGAAAGTTTGTAGAAAAACATAATGGTCACAATGTAATCACAAAAATTTTAATGTCGAATAATGGTATAGCGGCTGTTAACGAGATTAGATCTATTAGAAAATGGGCTTATGAAACATTTGGTGATGAAAGGTCATACAGTTTATTGTGATGGCTACTCCTGAAGATTTAAAGATTAATGCTGAATATATTCGTATGGCTGATCAATATATCGAAGTACCTGGTGGTTCTAATAATAATCATTATGCTAACGTTTCATTATATCGCCGAACGTACTGGTGTTCATGCCTTTAGGCTGGATGGTAAGCATTCTTCTAAAAAAAAAAAATTAACAATAATACCGGTGTATATAAATTAATTTTCTTTTAAACTAATGAAATATGGTTTGATCTTTATCATCTATAGGGGATAACCCTAAATTACCCGAATCATTAGCGCGAAGTAAACATAAGATAGTTTTCATTGGTCCTCCCGGTTCAGCGATGCGTTCGTTAGGTGATAAAATATCATCTACGATTGCTGCAAATGTTCCTACGATGGATTGGAGTGGTAATAATGTCACACTGATGAACAAGGTCATGTTATTTTTTCAGAAAGTTTTTACGAAGTGGCGTGCGTCAAGGACGTTGTTGATCGGTTAAATAAAGCAAATTCCTATCATAATCAAATCTTCAGAGGGTGGAGGAGGAAAAGGAATTATAAAAGTGGAAAATAAAGATAATTTTAAGCAAGCATTTGCTCAAGTTCAAGGTGAAGTTCCTGGTTCACCGACTTTCATCACGCGACTTGCTCCAGATGCTCGTCATCTCGAAGTTCAAGTTTTAGCGGTTCAATACGGAAATGCGATCTCCTTATTTGGAAGGGATTATTCGGTTCAAAGACGTCATCAAAAGATCATTTAAGATGCTCTAGTTACGATTGCAAAACAAGAGACATTTGAATCGATGGAAAGGGCTGCTGTCAGATTAGCTAAATTAGTTGGTTATGTTTAGGGCGAGAACCGTTGAATATCTTTACATCATTGTTGTCTGCAGGGAGATTTTTTATAGATGCATCAATGAATGATGGGAAAGCACTTCTGTTGAAGCTTTTGCATGCGGTGTTACATTTTTCTTTGTTGGCGGTGTTGGCAAAGAAAGTTGCTGTGTCATAAGAATTTTTTTTTGTTTTCTTGTTGAGCATCCTACGACAGAAATGGCTCAATTACAAATCGCTATTGAAATTCCACTTCATCAAATTCGTGATATTAGAGTTCTTCATGGGTTGGCCCCAAGTGGAACTTCCGAGATCGATTTTGATTTCTCGGATCCCGAGTCTCTTCAAACTCAAAGGAGACCTGCACCAAAAGGTCATGTAATAGCCGTTCGTATAACAGCGGAAAACTCTGACGCAGGATTTAAACCAAGTAGTGGTATGGTGCATGAACTTAATTTTCGTAGCAGCACGAATGTTTGAGGATATTTATCGCCGGTGACCTTCATGAGTTTGCTGATTCTCAATTTGGTCACATTTTCGCTTATGTGAGAATCGTCAACAATCTCGAAAGAATATGATAGTAGCGCTTAAGGAATTGTCGATTCGTGGGGACTTTAGAACCACAGTGGAATATTTAGTCAAATTACTTGAAACCCAAGCTTTCGAAAAATAGTTTTACAACGGGATGGTTGGACGAGAATCTAACTGCCGATAAGCCTGATAAAATGTATGTGGTGCAGTGACCAAGGCTTATGCAGCAGCCATGTAATCTATAATGGCATATAAAAGTTTCTACAAATCCCTAGCAGAGATATATTGCTCACCGTCTTCATCATCGATTTCATTTATGAAGGCGTCCATTATAAATGTACCGCGACTAGATCAGCTCTAGATTCTTACACACTTTACTTGCATCGTAGTCATGCTTATCGTAAGATAAACACCCTAGTGAAATTATTTAAATGGGATTTTTTTTTTTTTTATATTTTTTAAATTTTTTTTTTTTAATAAATATTTTGAAACTATTTTTAAGTGCCGGTCAAGACGACGAAAAGTAAAGGTGGTGACCAGTTAAAAACGGATGGGGAAGGAATAAAAACCATAATCAATGGCGTAAGTACTAAATTGATTATGTATTACTTTATGTATTACTTTTTTTCTATATTTATATTCATATTTTATTATTAGTCCTTTATTTAATGACTTATATATTAGTACAACTGGTAATTAATTTAATGTTTGTTTTTAATGCATAATTAAACATTATACTAACATTAAATATATTTTAATATATTTTCAGAATCATTTTTTTAGATATCAAAATTACAATAGATTATGAAGTTGTTATTGTGCAGCCACCACAATTACAAATCACGATCTATGAAACTAATGATGAGCAAGAAGGTTGCTTGAAAGTTCATACTTTTACAATTGAACCTGAAAATGAATTAATGTACTGCATTTATTATTTACTCATTTATTATTTTTAAATATTTTCGTTTGTTGGAGTTATGACAAATCATTTTTGTATTATAGGCATATTTCCAAGTTTGATCACCCTGAACATCCAAAATATTTGTCAATAATTTAACGAATCGAATGGAACTACGCGTCGACACAATACAAGGCTCAACAATGCCGTTTATAATTGCCATTCAAAAAAATATCAGAATATAATGAATGCAAGTAATTGTTTTCTCATTGCCGTAAATGAATCGAAAAGGTTAATTGGGATATATAATTTTGAATAATGACATGGTGAGCACTTGCACCTTACATGAATTTATATTTTTAAAGTTTAAAAGTAGAAGGAAGATTAAATTTTTTTTAATTATAGTTTAAAGTTTTTCATTATGACGAATTCCTAAATCTACATACACGTAACATAAATATTCAAATCTATAAACGTTATAATAATACTGTTCCAGATATATACATCATTTTTTATGTATCGAAATACTTGTTTTGTTGAGAAATGCGGTCGTGCAAGAATTTATAACCTTGCTAAAGGTCAATTTCGAACAGATGTTTCTCAATTTCCTCCAGATTCCACCAAAATTTTAAGTACACCTGATGGCATTTGTATAGTTGCATTTGTAAAAGAGCAACAGCAATCTTTATTTCCAGAAGTTGAATCATCAGAAATTACTCTTGACAAAATCATTGACGATGGCACGCCACAAAAAAGTGATGTATCCCTCAAATATAGAGTTAATGTATACAGCATGTATATTTTATTCAGAATTTGGAAAACCAGCAAATAAAGGTAATCATTATGTTATGTTTTTATTTTTATTTTTTATATTTTTAATTTAATTTTCACCTTATTTTAAAATATTTGTTAGTTGTTGGAATGCCCTCAAGTATGTAATCCTTGAAATATTTTAAATTTACAATATTACAAAATCGTCAAATTTATCTTACAACACTTGACATCAATAATGGTGTTTCACAATCATTAATCGTTAAAAATTGTGGATGATAAAAAAGCGAAATATCAACTTCAACAAAGTCTTGAAAAATCAACCGGACAGGTTAAATTTAAATCTGCAGCATCTTCAGATGATATTAAGGAAGGTGAAAATATTATTATTATGGATAAAAAATACGAAGTAATTGAAATAATCTCCGATAGTAAATAAAGATAGCCGACAACGTTTCTTCCCTTTTGGGTGTTGAATCATAGTTTGATTTTCGTATTGAATCAAAGACAAAATTTAATGGATTTATAGATTCATATAAATTAATGTTTGAAAAATATCCAATTGTATTGATAGTGAACAAAAAGGAAAGGTTACTTGGTTTACATATAGTTTTAGATATTTTACAAGATAATCAAACTTTGAAGAATATATATTAGATATGTTCAAGGAAACAAACAAACTGCAAAATGTTTTAAAAGAATTTTCGACATGTGTAAGCACTTTCAAAGAGTTTAATATTGAATATTTAATCCGATAAGATGATAAATTACCAACTTGGTGAATGGATTATGCAACTGTTATGTTTGATTCCAATTCAAATTGCTGTATCAAAGAATCATAAATTCCAACCGTTATGTGATGGAAAATTAAAAGCAGAAAGTGAACAGTCTGATGGATGTCATATTATGAACGATATAACTCGTAATATATCTTTTGAATGGTATGAAGGAATCCTTAATCATTTTGGGGATCGCAATATTAAAGTTGTTTCAAGTATGGGTGAACATTCTTGCGGAAAGTCATATTTAATAAATCATCTTGTTGGAACTTCCTTCGATGGTTCGGAAATGGTAGTTTTTTTGTATTTAATTTTTTTATTTTGAATTTTGAATTTCTTATATATTTTACTAAATTAAAATAGTGAGGGTGTATGGATGTCTTTATGTCTGTAAAATTAACACATATATTTTATCCCTTTAGTAAATACCCAAAATGCCTTATGGGCACATTCAATTTCATGATACAAGGCATGGAAATATGTCACAAATTGCACAAATTGAGTCAATTGGAGAAGATAATGAATCAGAATACGCAGGGTATGATATACATAAACAAGTACAGTAATTACATCGCTTCAAACGATTATTAAAATTTTTTATTTGAGCTTTAGATTAAATTAAGAATCGGTGATCATAGATCCTTTATCTTTGTAACCTGGTATGATATTCTATTTCTTATAATTATACAAAATTATTAAAATTATTTCCCTCGATATTAGTGCTGTAAAGATATAGGTAAACACCATCATATCGATTACAGTCAAAATGAAGAAAATTCTGATCAAGGAAATGATGGCTTGTTAATGGTAATTTGGACTTAATATTTTGATGTGTATATTTGTATTGGTATTTTTTTTAATTATTTAATATTTTACAGACAAATTAAAGCCCGATCCTTTTAGAAAAAAAAGGATTCATTTATCATGAATTATTCTGGGAACGAACAGGGTTTAAAGGTATATAAAGTTATATGCACATCCTTAAATATGCTTAATTTTATTTATTTATTGTATATGTTTTAGATCCTTATTCGTTTCAAGAACAAAAAGAATTCATAAAATATGAAGACAGCGCAAATATTAAATCTTCAAAGTGGGTTATGAACTGATAACAATTGTAACTTTTTAAATCATGATGTAAAATAGTTTTGGATTTAATTTTATAAAAATGAATTCCTATCCGATTCAGTAATAAAATAATTACTTTATTTTTATTTTTAAGAAATTTACCTTAAACGACCTTGAATTATTTTTATTAAAATTATTACAAGGCGAGATTATTTTACTTTTTAACCAAAGTATAGAATTTTTTTCGTAACTAATAAAAATGTTTATTGTGTTGGTGGTTATGTGGATTAATCTAACTTTTGTTATTATATTATATAAAAAAATATATACCGTATAGTCCCGAAATTATCACCACCAGAAAATAATCACCACTTTATTTCAATATTACCCAAAATAAGCACCCTTCGTAATATCTTGTAAAATGTATTGATTATATAATAAATTTATTCAAATTTATTGAAATAAAGCTAAAAGAATTTATAAAA